GTGCGCGGAAATACCAGATTTATTTCGAGTGTTGAACATGATATCTCAAGAGTGAGCACAGCGAACGAGTGAGATATCATGTTCAACACGAGAAATAAATCTGGTATTTCCAAGCATCCATGCATGTATTTTTCTGTTTATTATATAAAGGACAGTCTTTGAAAATAATGATAAAATTAACCAGGACTTACCCCAAACACTGTTAATTTTAGATTAACCATGAAATTTTACCCAGCCTGCTTTTAGAGTGCATGTTACTATAGAAGCAAAGCGATAAGAATAATAAAGCATTTTATAAGTAAGCTATATATACTAATATAAACCACAATGAACCAAAAGCACATTCCGAAAAATAAATAATGTTAACTCGAAAGTCGAGTAAAAAAAAGACAAATCTATTAAAGTTTAATATTTCGGTTTTATTTCAAAACCAACTAACAGGCAATTGTTTTGTAGTATATTTATACTAAAACAAACACCAGCTTCCAAAGGTTTCATGTGAAACCAATGACAATCTGGCTTATGTATGTATTTCATAAAAATATATACCTAGAATTTAATAAAAAACTATGTCTAATAACATAGAAATAAAATATATAATAATTTTCGAAATGACTAAAATTTTATATTTCGAACATCGTTGCTTTTTGGAATTACTAATGTATGCAGATAATATGCTCCAATGAGATTAGTGTCCGCATGCTAGACGAAAGAATAATTTCGATAGAGGAATAGGTAATTAAAGTAACTAAAATAAAATGTATATATTTATAATCGCACACGATAAAATCTATTTATATAGTATACAAAAAATGAATATACGAAGCCTGGGATTATGATATGTCGAATCAAGATATAAGTTACATGCATAATTTAATTACATGTAAGCATATAATTAAATAATTAATACTTAAAGGCCCATTTACACTTCTGGTGCGATTTTCTTCTTCTGATGCATGTGAATGAGTAAATAAGTCATGATGTTCTGAGTATATGTCTCACTGATGTACCCTTATCTGACCTATCCACTAGTTCACATCCATCAGAAGAAGAAAAAATTTATCTCGCATCTTGTAGCAAGTTTGCCAACATTAAGAAGTCAACAAGTTGTGTTCGCACTGCTTGTCCCAAGTTGTCAACAAGTTTGGAACAAGCTGTTAACATCTTGTATAACAACCTTGTTAGTATTATCTGACTTGTTGCAAGGTTGTTCCAACAAGTCCAATACAGTCGTGTTATAACAATATTGTTACAACCTTGTGTCGTCAACCTTGTGACATTCTTGTTATATCATGACTGTATCAGACTTGTTAGAACAAGCTTGTAACAAGTCTGATAATGCCGCCAAGCTTGTTACAAGTTGTTAACAACTTGTTCCAAACTTGTTACAATAACTGGGAACAAGCAGTGCGAACACAACTTGTCGAAAGCTTGTGAACAGATTTGTAACCCCTATACAACTTGTTTGCAGACCTGTAACAATTTGTGCGTTTTTACGTGTGTAGTTCAGGCTTGAAGTCCTTTCCTGTACAGCTCATTTACACTATTTTATAGTTAAGTTCGGAACAAACGAGGGTGAGAGTACATACGAGTTGGCAGGGAATTCCCTATCACGTATCCTATTTAAGTTAAAACAAAGTTGGGAGCAATCATTCTCCTCGTTGACCTGGACTTTACTAGTGATTAAAATAAAACGTAAAACGGTTAGGAATATCACATTTTCCAAGCAGGCGTTTCTTAGGATATATAGAGGAAATGATTGGCTTCCATTCTTTGGGCAAAAATTTCTCCGAATGGCGCCATTATACTCTTGTATAACCTAGCTCAGTTCCAAGGGAGTAAAAGGGCTTACTTTGCAAAATACTGTATGCAAAACTCCAAAAGGTTTAGTATTTCAACCAAGTGTGGTAATATTTTAAGCATTAATTGTTAAAGCGGTTCATCAGTTTGAATGAAATATTTAATACTTTGATAATACGTTAATAATGTAATTTAAATTGTACAAAGTGTGTAATAAATATCAAAATATGTATTATTGAAATGAATTTGTGGTCTTTTATGCATAAGGTAAAACTTCATCTACCGATTCATTTTCGTTTTAATCTGTTTATTTAAGTAACATTTTCTCGAGTTGTTTTGGGTCCAACTTTCAGCTCAATTTTAAATTACATAATGCCAGTTTCCCAGATATCTGTTTCATCATAACCTATATATGATCTTTGTTTCATCGTCTGTCAGTCAAAAATACAGGCAAAATATCATTATAGTCCGTTAACCTAATACAGATCTTAAGAACAAGAGACAACAAAATCCCTTCTCTATATACTCGTAGCATTAAAATCAATACCGCGTTCAAAGCTGTTCAGGATGTGTCGAACGTAATGTGAATGACGTATAAACTCATTGTTTGAGCTCATCTGCTTCACACCAAACGTCGACGTTGAAACTAGGCCTGATTTCATTACCTTATATGCGTGACCATCACTCAATGCCGTGCGAAAATGAAATGATGCTAGTAATATGTGTGTGAAGCTGTGAAATATACTGTAAATGCATGGCCGTGGTTAAAAATTTTGTACTGAGTTTGTGACGTCATTATTCAAATATGAAACATTGTTCATATTTCAAAAAATCTTCACTATTTGACAAAATGATTTTTATTTCTCAGTGAACTCAAAATATCACCAAAGATTAGCCACCACTATATATTTTAGTTGGATTTGCAAATTTGGAAAATATAAGCATTATACAGCAGTATTATTTCAATATACATTTTAAATACGGGCATTGACGACCACTTGAAGAGACAATATATTATAAATTGTCTATGATAGCACTAACAATATTCAAAGGAAGTTTGCAGGAAATGTCATAATGGTTTAAAAGAGTATTACAATATTCTTTCTTTTACTTGAGTGTGAATCTCATTGTCCAAAAGTAATCGTATTTCCTTTTTCCAAGCACGCTATATCAGGCTGGGCCCTACCATATAAATGTGAATTATCAGTGCAGTATATACAGTTTGGCACTGAACAGAAATTGTAAAGCAAAGCTTCTGCTGCATGAAAGAGTTGTCAAATTCAAGTCTTAAAAAATCAAGATGAGTTTTACAGTAACTGGAATTCAAAAGAAAAGGTATTGTCTAACAGATTTTCTTTGTCAAGGGGAGAGCGTTGGCGCTGAATAGGTTAACTATTTATAACCTATATATACATGAACTTACGGTTACAGCTCAACAGCTGGCCTCTGTAGCTCAGTTGGTTAGAGCGCTGCACCGGAATTGCAGGGCCGTAGGTTCAATTCCTACCAGAGGACCTTGTGCTGCATTTTTCGCAGTCGTTCCTGGTCAGGTCTTAAAATGTATATATACTCACTTGGATTACAAACCCTAACATTCTAATATTAATTCCACCAAGTGAAGTGCAAGAATACAAATCATTGAAGACTAATTAACTATTTATAATCTTAAAAGTTATAAAATAATCGTTTCGTTGTATATTGTACGTGTTTTAGAGTAAGAACTGGGAATTTCGCTGAATCGTAGAAGTGCTAGTAATTACACGAGCCTCTAACCCAAGTATTTTTAAAATTACGCAAACTCAAAATTTGATTGGGGGAGAAAAAGATCTCAGCAGGTCGAAAATACCCGTATAACAATTTCAAGCATCTTCAATTTTATCCAATTTAGCCACCACCACACCAAATCTGATTATGAACAAGACAGCTACGGTCGAGATTTGGAAAAAGCTGCCGATGATTTTGATGACTCCTTTGAGCCATCATCTCGCACCGTAGCCAGACAACGCTGGGACACTGCTGTGAGCTCAACACGCAACATGGTTATAGCTCAAATCGACTTGTACCAATATAAACAGGAAGAAATTGACGTCGAAGTCCGAGATATGAAGATTTATGTGAAAGGCAGACATGTCACTGAGCGAGAGAATGGCTATGATGCTAGCGAATTCGAGCGATTCTACGCCGTCCCGGAAGGGGTGGACCCCAAGAGAGTTAGCACCCGATACTCCGATGGTATGCTCAAAATCGAAGCGCCACGCCCCAAGCGTGAGAGCCAACCTCGTAAAATCGCGGGGGGAGAAATAGTTAGCGATGAAGAAAAATTCGAAATTGTCTTGGATGTACGAAATTATAAACCTGACGAAATTGAAGTGAAAGTCAACGGAGATGATTTGATTGTCACAGGCAAACAGGAGACAGAGGAACAAGGACGAAGGGTCACACGGCAGTTTACACGAAACTTCAAGTTGCCTCGCGATGTCAATGTGAGAACAGTGAAATCGCGCGTCAGTGTTGATGGATACCTCTACGTCTACGCCAAGAAAGAGATTACTTGGGATGAGGAGAGAGTCATAAATATCTTGGTGAACGGAAGGCGATCTCCCATTAGGAAATCCGAGGCTCACTTCACAGGCGAGGAAGAAGAGTAGACATTTTGTTCTTCAGAAACTTTTCAAAAGAAAACCTTTAACTGTTTAGTGCTACTGAGACTAAGAGACACCTTGAAAGTGTTCAAAACAATTTTTCAAATAGTTTCGTAGATTTTTGGCTGTTAATAATAAATTCTACCTCCAGAACTTAGTCTATTAATTTTTTATAGGTTACACATTATGTAGATTCTGTTTCTGAGCCGTTAACGTGGCACTGTAAAGAGGGTCATGAAGGGGTAAAATGGGAACTGGGATTTGCCTTTTTTTTACTGGGAAAGAGGGATTTACTGCACTGGGACTTAACCACTGGGATAAAAAATTTTGGAAATGGGATTTCTCTTCTTGAGTGGCCTCTGACTTTATTATTCGATACAACTGCATCTCAAACTCATGAATAATCAATGAGTGAATTAGTCAACCATACTGCTTTATTTTGCTCACATGATAATACTGGATACCTGATGAAGTATATTGATCCAGTCCTAGGACTAGTCAAAATTAATTCAGTCCTTGGACTGGATCAAATTTTTAAATATCCACCATGGATGGGATTTCAGTTTTCGTAACTGGGATTTGGACAACCCATTGAACTATAAATAAACTGGAAGGCTAACTCAGGGGGGGGGGGGAATTGAAGCCAGTGCATTTTAGTTTTTCTGAGTTATGAGCAGAAATACTCAACACTGAACGTTGGGCTATATATCAAATTGAAGCTATTGAAAAACGCTATTTGGTGTAGAAATTTCAGACTTTAGCTAAAAGGGAAATATTGAAAAACTACAAACATAATTACCGATAATTTGCCGTTTTGCAGTTGTTTTTGTATTTTTTAAATATTTTTCTTTTCGCTGAAGTCTTGAAATTTCCACACCGAATAGCAATTTTCAATAGCTTCAATTTGATATATAGCCCGACGTTTGGGGTCAAGTATTTCTGCTCATAACTCAGAAAAACTATTTTGGCTTCATCAAATCATAGGCCTTCATCATAGCAGTTAGCCTTCCAGTTTATTTATAGTTCAATGGGACAACCTCGTACCCAGGGTCTTTCCTCTTCTCCCCTCGCCAAGAGACCCTGGGTACGCGGTTGGCATTTGGACCGAAATTAGGCCCCAACTGGGGGTTTGGATCAAAACAAGGCCGGAAACTGGAATTTGGTCCACCCTCAACGACCATCTGTGAAATCTCGGAAGTAAAACTTCAACAAGTTTTTTTTTTGTCGAAATCATTGGTGTCCATTTATCATTGAAATCATTTCATCTTTTCTATTTACATAAATACAACTTTATACAAGAAGTGAGGAAACTATACAACTAATTCTCTTAGTGCCGTTAAAATCTCCACTCAAACTTGACATTTTAAAAATTAAATACAACAAAAATATAATTGGTATTATATATTAGGCTGCTTGTCCTTCCGTTGTGAATTACTATTTCATGTTAACATTGTGTAAAAGTTATTATTATTGTCTCTTTAAATAATTCAAACTGTTTGAGATCGGATATTATGTTGGTATAAATATCAGCTACACTGCATTTCTTCAACATCTGCTTCATACGATCTTTTTACGCTTGCTGCAAAGAAAATGGTCATAGGAACATAAAAAAAGAATGCTATCAGTACAGTCTGCATGTTTTTAAAATTAGGGAAAAATTTTTAGGTCAGTATGAAATTTTCTAAGTCAAATTTTGAGTCACAATTTTCTAAGTCAGAGTATGTGACCATAGTTAATATATATGACATGGTTTGGAAACCCTTTGTTTTAGGTGATTGTGTACCTTGTGCAGGGTCACGGTTGAAAAATCATTTGTCTTTCTATTGTTTGACAATAGTCAGTTCAGAAAGCTTGGCGAAAGGAATGGGTACCAAGTATTTGTTTTGCCTACCAGGGCTATATCTTACGAAGTATTACCACCATTTTTCGATGGAGAATGTTTGTGTTACATCGTTTGGTCAATTCTCATTGATTAAAACCAACATGTGCAGGGTCAAACTGACTGTTCAACCTCCATGTTTGTTTATAGCGTAATTTCATTGAAGTTTGCCGGGTTTCCTAACCAGGTCTTATAACAACCATGATGTGATCCCTTATCCATATATTTTGCTCAGATAAGAATCCGGATAGCGTATAGTAGAATTTGTAGTAAAATCCGGACAAGCTCATGAATCCGGAGATCACTTTTGTGATGAGATCACAAAAGTTGGTGACATATGATACCTCTGTGTCCTAGTGGTTCTTTGCTGTTGAATTGTTTCATCTGGTAGTTTGCTAAGTAAATCGGTTCATATTCCTACAACAGAGTGAATGAATGAACGGTTTCCTTCTAATTGCATGGATATACCGAGATACTTTGGTGCCAGCATGCACGTAGGGGTCTGATCGTCCAGCCATCTGGGAGCATGTTCCCCCGGCAAATTTATCTACTTTTTAGGGTCGGCGAAAAGCTATTTCATGCATTTTAGACACGTTTTGTGATAATCTGAAAGCCACAGATTTGGTATATTTTATGTCATAGATGAAAACAATAAGAAGTTACCCCCCCCCCCCTCCACCCACCAGCTTCTCCTTAGCCCCCACCCCCACCAGCTTCTCCTTAGTCCCACCCCCACCACAGCTTCTCCTTAGTTTTGGAAGAATTAAAAAATTGGTCCTGAAGAAAAGTGTGGGTCTGGACCCCCCCCCTCCATTCCCCTCATGATTACGCCTCTGGCACTGGGTCCCGATAGTATAGTTTCACCGGAATCCAATTTAGAATAAATTTATGATGAATATATTTTGTCTAACTGCTTGGAAAATAGAAATTTAAGCTATGTTCTGTACCATTAGTTGTTGAGTAAAACCTTCGTTAGGATTGATACAAAATCTCTTCTGCTGAACATAGAGAAACGCCTCTCTGCAATAAATAAAATTATGCTGAGTTCTGGGAACTAATGCATGTTCGAACAAAAACAGCAAGGTCCAAAATGGTTTGAGGTGTACCTATAAGCAATTCCATACGTCTCCATAACGTACGCTATTAATAACGCAGCACTAAAAAAAATAATTTATTGATTGTCAGATGGTTTGTTATATCAGTACTCGGTTTTCTGTGGTATAGTAAGCCTGTAATATGGATACAAAAAGGTCAAAAGTACTTGCAGTAAACTCTCGTAACGAAAATGTTGCCTTGTTTAAAACGGCATAGCATTTGCGTTCGAAACGCACGTTCCAAAATGCACTCCAAAGCAAACGTGCTTCAGAGAAAGTGACTCGGAAAGTCTCCATTGTTTGAAATGATGTTTTTGCATTCGCAAATGCTGAAACATCGAAGTAGACAAATGTGAATCGATAGACAACGGGTTTCCGTCTAATGCGGGAGACTTGAAACCGGGAGACCAGAAATTAGACCAATTTTTCCGTCTAACTCGTCTGAACAACAACTGAGCTAGAAAAAACTAGTCTTAAATTTAAATCAGACAAATAAATAAAATCGGGTTTCAAATGGGAACTTCAAAAAGAGACTGGGATTGAGGCGTTTTGGGAGGATTTTTCAGGTTTATTCGTCGGATGCTTTTCGTTTCATATCATACGAAAATCCATCTTCTAGTATGAATTTGGCCAGTAACTGCGATAGTATACTTTGATCAAATGGACTAATGCAACGTTGTATACCTCCGTGAAATGCCAGTGTTGCCATGAATTAAGACCTTGCCTGATTAGAACAGAAAGGACAGCAATAAGGATAACATAACATCAAGACAAAATAATTATTTAAGAAACAGGAGAATTATGAACTAAAATTTTGTACAAATATATACCATTGGTACTTTGGCATTCATTGAGAAATGTTCTGACCTGAAAAAAATTGTAATTGCACATAAAGAAATCTGAATTTTTTTATTTATTTTAAATATTTCTTCATTTGATTTTATTATTATTCCACTCTTCACATCTACAGCATCATTAATTCACATGACCAATATTTACCATAGGAAAATGACCAATAATATTTTCTGTAGTTTTGTCTGCAATGTTCAAGACAAGATACCTAAAGAAAAAAATTTTTATTTTGACAATTACCACAAAACTGTACTAAAGGAAATTTTGATCATTTGTGGACATTACCACAAAACTGCACTATAAAAGGAAACTGATGCCTGTGGTATTACCACAGAATAGGAACCCTAGAGAAGGTCATTTTGCCTATGATTTTGGTATAACTATTGCAATGTGCACACCCAGCGCCATGTTCCTAGCCTGTGTGCTTATGAGAGGCAACGACCCCCCTGAAGATATTCAGAATGGCGGATGTTCAGGGGGGTGAATGCCTCTCATAAGCACACTGGCTAGGAACATGTGGCATTTTGGCAGTGGTTATGCTTTTTTGGCTGAGTTGACCTTCTGTACAAGGTTCCCATTCAGTGGTATCACTGTATTTACCACTGTGATACAGGATATCCTAGTTTTATACCAATCCAAAACTTACTTAAAATTGTCAGGAAAGTTAGGTTTCACAAAGTTTGCCTCCAGATCTTGTCTGATACATATGATGTGTGTTACTCCATTCTCCAGGAGAAAATTTAGCTAGCCGGTAAAAATAGTGTCATGTTAAATTTTAATTTGGGACGTACAGGTGAAGTATTTTGTATCACTGGTAAATATTACCGGTTCAGTCGCACAAGGTGACTGGTTGCAAGCACTTGCAGAGACACATTTCACCATGGTCATGTGACATGTTGCTTGGACAAAATTAAAATTCATACCTTGGATTTTGTAGCAACAGAATAAGGTCCAAGAAATATTCCTGGCAGGACCTCCTACAGTAAAAATGTTCTTGCATAACAACCCTCAATAAGCCTCGCCCTGTCTCATGGTGAGGGAGGAGATTATGAGGGTGTGTGATTTTTACATGCAGTGTAGATGTCATTATCACAGGATTATGCCGAATCCTGATCTATGTTACACCATTGTTCATTCAGCATTGTAATATGAAAGTTTAGATTTCCTCAAGCAGTCGGCATTCAACAGATTAAAGGATTTGACTGCCTCACAGACTTTGTTGCAACAAACTTGGCATTTAGTATCATAATCTCTCAGTAACACCCTAACATTCACCATAAACTGTGAGTTAGTCAGACCACAGATTATGATTGACCTAATTATTCATTGATCAAATTAAAACCTTTTGAGTGCTCTTGACAAATTAGAAAGTTTAGTGTAAGCACACAATATTTTTAACTGTGATGCAAGCTGTGTTTATATCAGTGCAAACAAAGATATAAACCACCGTTGTTTCACACAATAAAGTTATTGATGGGTGATGACAAATTGTCACAAAAATAGGGTTATTAATATTAACTATTGCATAACATTTTCTTATATTTAACCTGCATTTCTCGTCTTTTACTATAGTACCAATCCTATGAAAATAAGTTAAAAAATAAATATATAAATATTCCCAAACAACACATTTGATTTGATTTGACAACTGTCAGAGCGTCAAATTCTCTGTATGAAATTCATACAAATTTACCTCAGATTCATCCTTCTTTGGTATTTCTGGAAAGTTTAAAGTATCCATTTTTTCACAGAATCATTTACGTACAATAATAAATAATCATTTTGCACGCAATAAGCCCTCAAAAATGTCCAAAAAAGACAGAACTGGACGCCATCTTAAAACGGAACTTTATTCGTAGGTTACAAATTCGTATCGTGGTAACACAATAGTACCGGGGATTTGTACCCTTAAACAAAATGGAGGTCAAATTTTCACGTGTGTATTTGTTCGTGTTAATATTAATATTGTTTTTTTAGTTCATTTTTGGGCGGTTTTAATATACAATTGATAAAATGAAGTCTAGGTTTACTACAATAGATATCTGCGCTGTCATTACAGACGTAAAAAGGTGATGTAATGCTATTTGGATGATCAATATATCTGTGTTTCTGATATTTTATATTTATATTTGTATACATTTGTGAATTTTATATTTTAATATCCAGTTTTGCATATATGGTTGATTGTAGTTTTGTACTTTTATTTTTTATAGGTTTTTAGGCATGAGAGTGAACAACATTTATGATATCGATAACAAAACGTATCTTATAAGATTAGCAAAGTAAGTTTTCAGAGCCACCTTAAGTGAATCAACACGTCTTGACTACATTACCATAAGAAATGAATAGAAGGGCAACTCGCGTGTACAAAGCGTAACCAATTTTCAGTGCGCACGCGCAGGATTCTCAAGCTCGCAGCCAGTAAAAGCTAGTCAGTGCAATAGCGATTTGTATTACGAAATGTACTGTACATTTTGATCACAAACATATAGCGATGACCAGGCCTTAAAATATCGGTCGGTCACGGACATTGTTTTTTTTTTGTTTTTTTTTATTAGCTTTGCCAACTAGGGCAGGGTCACCACAACAGCATATGCCAATTACTGTGGGCCCTTTTTACCTAACCCACCCTGTCAACTTTTCCCTGTGGGAGGAAACCGGAGTACCCGGGGAAAACCCACGGCGTTCGGCAGAGCGTTGACTTTTACTCTTTTCACATGGGGACTGGGTTCGAGTCGCACTGAGAAGGTACTTAGTGAGATTCGAACCTGCAGCCTCAGAGGTGAAAGGCAAGTGCGCTAACCACTTAGCCACACCACCAAATTGTCCGACCCATTCGTGAAATTGTCTGACGTAGAAAGGAAACCACCGGACATTCTGTCCGACCAAGGTGAAACTGAGGTTTATTGTTTGTCCGACCCGAGTGTATTGGTGTCCGACCGAACGGTAGCTTTGTACGACGTAAATCAAAATGTACCCTAGCCCAGGACTAGAGGCTTGTATGTTAAATGGAAAATCAGAGTACTATTGTATAAAAGGTGAACTAGAAATGTTGTTTTAATTAACGTAGTTGAGCGTGGGGCGGCGAGCGAAATGGTGAAGTGGAAAACGGGCTTAAGTTGTCGAAGTCTTTTTTTAATACTGCTGTTCTGGAAAGCAAGTTAATTTTGGCTTGGAAATAAGTATGAAAGGAACAAATTATTTAATATCTTTACAACATTTACCATTTATTCATTTGTGTCATTCAGACTTATTTCCGAGTCAAAACTGAACTGAGGTCATCGGACATATGTCCGACCCAAGCTCAACGTCACCAGACATTTTGTCAGACGGCCCTGGAAAAGATATTTTAAGGCCTGGATGACAAATGATACGAACATTTTCCCAAGATTTCTGGTCCCCTCTGAGTACTGCGGGCTCCGGGTATTTTGCCCCCCTGCCCCCCTCTCGCCAGCCTTGGTTTTATGAACTTGTTTAGCAATATGGTCGATTAGAAAAAACTGGAATTGGTTGGGAAAAATGGTAAATTTTCATCATCTTGGCTTCACTTTGCTCATAGGTCAAATGACTGAAGTTCTTACTCCAGATATATAGAGCTCACTGGCCAACCCCATACTGAACCTTACTTCTGGGATAACTCATGTCCGTATTTATTTTTTCTAGACCAGATCACAAGGTGGTCTTATTAATTGAGTCTGGGTTGCGATTTCATAGCACTGAATTTGAATGGCCCAAAAATACATTCCCATCTGGTTTCGCCATGAAGGTAAATATGATAGCGGACATCTTGGGGGCTTGTTGTACGAATGCCATACCGTACATTACCGTTTTCTAATGAATAATGATTTTTCAATAAAACAAACACAGGTAAACTAAACCCCGATTGTATACAATGCGAATAATGTCGGACACTCGTCAATTTAAAATTCAACAAATTTTTAATGTTCTTATAGATGCGTAAACATGTATCCGGCAAACGTTTGGTCAATATATCAATGCTTGGGATTGACAGAATTTTAGACTTTCAGTTTGGTTCCAATGAAGCAGCATACCACTTGATTGTGGAACTCTATGACAGAGTAAGTGGCCTAAAAATCCATGTAAAGTCCATTCATTGTTTTCTCCCTCCTTTCCCCAGCCCTACCCCCCCCCCCATTTCTGCTCTCCTTCTTTCTCTCCTTCCCTTTTTCACCCTCCTTGCCTTTGTCTCTCCTTCCTTTCATGATCACTTTTTCCCCCCAAATCCTTGACCTTTTTGCCAAATGAAGGAGAAAATAATAAGTACAGTTAACCCTTTAAGTGGCAATGCTCTGATGCTCTCTGATGATGCCAAGCATGCAATATTATTCATCATTCATGTTATTTGATTATTATAATATACAGTTTCCCATATTGGGATATAATATGTTTTCTTTTAAAAACCCTGTATAAAACAGACACCTCTCTAAATTCTCTAAATTCAAATACAGACACTTTGCTGTTTTCCTTTGGTTTCCATGTTAGAGAAGTTTGACTGTTCTGTGTACACCCCTGAACACCTACTGTACCGTAATACAAAATATGTAGTGCTGTATTATGCATATGTTTTATTTTGAACAACCAATAATATTCACATAAACTTTCTTGCAACATTTAGGGTAACATCATCCTCACTGACTTTGAATACATTATTTTGAGTTTACTGCGGACACGAACAGACAGCGAAGATGTCAGATTTGCAGTACGGGAGAGATATCCTTTAGAAAATGCAAAGCAGTATGAGCCACTGATGACAGTGGAAAAGTGAGTGAATAATGAATACATTGTTCTCCATAGACATCAAGTAAGGGTATACCTAGACTAGGGTATACCATATTCTCAATTCACTCTGTATTTATTGATAGATTACAAGAACTTCTTTCCCAAGCAAAAGATGGTGACGTTTTAAAGAAAATTCTCAATCCTCATTTAGGTATTTTCATATTTATACACATATTGGGTGAACAATATATTATAAAATTTCTAAACTTGTTTACTTTCTAGTGTTTGGTCCAGCGTTACTTGATCATTGTCTTAAACAAGTTGGCTTTGTTTTAAATGCCAAAATTGGGAAGGATGTCAATATTGAACAAGGTCTGTTTCAATTAAAATAATATTTCAATTAAAGTTACCTTGCAAATATTTTTTTTACATTTTCCTTCCAAACAGTAACATTTACAGTACACTAGCAGGATTAGACACTTCACAAAATATGGGCAGGAGGGATTTGGATCACTAACATGTATTACCATACTTTTGCTGATGCAAATCTAAGTCCTTTAAATTCTGTTGCAGCAGCCTTAAATTTAATGAAAACTTGCTTAAAATAATGTCTTAGTTGTGACATTATAGGGGGGGGGGGGGTAACCCCCAGTATCCTCCATTGTTTACCAGAATAATAAACCTCCCCATTTTTCAAATGAGCAAAACACTATGATGGAATAATAAGGAAAAGTACTTGTAGAGTAGGTCATTAAAATCTTCTATGTACGCATTGCGTACCTATTTTTACATACATTGGATCTTAATCCAAGGTTGTTGGTAAGTGTTTCTCTAAGAATGTCCAAGATATTTAGAAGTTTGTAAATATTTTCCTTCCTCAGATATTTCCAAGATAATGGAAGCTCTCTCTAATGCGGAGAAATATTTAGAGACGACTAGGAACTCGCCATGTAAGGTAAATATGAGGGAACCGTGTATGCTACCTGCAAACAAGGTCATTTTTTTCAGATTCAATTTGAACTGCATTGTATTTTTGTTTCGTAAACATAGGGATACATAATCCAAAAGCGGGAAAAGAAACACGTTGATAGTAACTCTGGCGATAATGACCTTTTGACGTAAGTGTATTTACCGGCCTGCAATTATGCTTTTCTGATGAAAGGTCAGAGAGAAAGAGAAATTAGCAGATGAAGCAATATTCTTGCATCTTGCGTATAAATGTTTTTGTGGTGTGTTACTTTCTGGTTTATAAATGTCAGAAGCTGCATAATACGACATCTGTATTGAAGACAACGGTGAGCTTTGTTTCATTTAACTTTAGATACCAGGAATTTCACCCGTTTTTGTTTGAGCAACATAAGGATTGCCCATACCTAGAGTTTGACTCATTTAATAAGGTGAGGTGGATACGAAGAAAACGAATTATTCATTTATTGAATGGGTGACTCCAGCTATAGACTAAGTTTTGATCAAGGCAAAAGAACGAAATCCAACACCACAGCTAGAAAGAGCATCTTAGAATGCGTAAAACTGCAAAGTTGTAAAAATGAAGAAAATATAGCCTTGTGAAGTTCGCAAATTTTGTATATATATTTGTATTACGCGCGGTAAAAATAAACACTTTGGGCTCAAAAATGTTTATTTTTCCCGCCTGTAATGCAAATATATACAAAATTTGCGAACTTCACAGGCCCTATATTTTCCTCATTTTACCACATTTCGCAACCAAACTTTGCAATTGTACTCATTTTAAGATGTTCTTTCCAGCTATGGTAATGGATTCGTTCTTCTTCTCTAGATCAAAATTTCATCTATACCTGGAATCACCCATTATTTAGAATGAAATAATTTCCGGAAGGGTGTTTTCTACTAACTTCAACCTAGTATCGATATTTTCAGGCAGTTGATGAGTTCTTTAGTAAGATTGAAAGTCAAAAACTCGATACGAAAGCATTGCAACAAGAGAAAGCTGTTTTGAAGAAACTCGATAACGTCAAAAAAGATCATGAAAAACGATTGGATAGTTTGCAAAAAGCTCAGGTTAGAATGACACTGTGTATCGTAGAATGCCATCTGCACTGGATTACTGCATTTGAGATATTGTGTTACTCATTATCTACCTTAGGTTTTGTAGACTACTGTATATAATTATTAAAAACTCTGACGTGAATAAATTTTCACGCAGGAAGAAGACAAAGAAAAAGCAAGATTAATTGAAATAAATTTACCGTTGGTGAGTATGGTATACTTATTTTTATGTTTGTTTTGGGTGTCTGCTTAGAGAGACGGTAAGGGCTGAGTCATCCTTATTGGTCCAGTGTTATTACAGGAGGAAACTGCATGTTGTACAAAGGTGATCTACTACCTTGCGGCCGTTCGTTGTGTATTAGGGAGCTTAAGCGCCATGTAGGACGGCAACACGACGACGACGGCCAAAACAAATTTCTTCAAATAAATGATAGTAAAGAAAACTTGTCGTATATTATAATTCGTATGAATTTAATACAGTATAAGAAGTTGAAAACATTGGCTTTATGTTTGGGAAGAGTTCTACTGAACCGAATTTTAAGTTACACTTGTTACGGCTTGAAATGCAGGCGTTGTATAAAAGACGTGAAAATCTGTGATTTGCCGTTGTAAACAGAGTGACGACTACGTCTGAAACTCCCCTGGGACTTTAATTATTTATTCACTTTTCATTGACTCATTGTATTGGTTGCCGTCGTCGTCATGTTGCCGTCCTACATGCTTAAGATCCCTATTATATAGGGTGAAGAGGGAAGAGCCTGGGAATGAGGTTGTGTAGGGTCAGGGTTAGGGATACCACAACGTGAATGCCAATGCTTTATCACTTTGTTCTTTGTTTCCAAAGGTGGACCAAGCAATCAAAGTGGTGAACAGTGCAATAGCCAATCAAATTGACTGGGCAGAAATCAACAATATTGTTAAGGAGGCTCAAGCACGGGGAGATGGTGTTGCCATGGCAATAAAACAATTGAAGTTAGAGACGAACCACATTAGCATGCTTTTGAAGTAAGTCCACATTCTGACTGCAATCTGGACGTCACAGATTTAGTTGACTATTTAATATTCTCTCTTCTTAATTAATTACAAAAACTTCCAATTTCCTGCATCACGCTCCAGTGTACAGACTTTAGCATAGGGAACATTACTTCTTGCCACCGAAAAGCTAGGGCCTCTCATTGACCAATTGACTTGCTCCATACTGTATCTCCTTTGAGCTACATAGTTCTGTGTCCTCTTCAGCGCACATTTAGAACACGTTATTCTTTACAGGGATGGGTTTGATCACACAGACAGCAGTGATGATGATGATGATAGTCAACCAAAGCAACGTAAAGTATGTTGGACCCTTCATGCAATAGCCCGATTTATTGTGCTGCAACTTGCAACGCTATTCTGACGTAGAGCCATGTTATCATAGAGCATGGCCCGCATTCTACTCGATCTACTGACACTTTCTTTACATAACATACTCTTAGGGGATGAAAAATGAAAGAAATATGAATTTTTTGGCGACTACCCTTTAAATAACATAGCTCTATGTCAGCAATTGCGTGGTGTAACATGGCCTTACGAATGATCCATATAGAGAGTATAATTGTAATGTATAAATATATTGGGAAAATAGGAGACACACTACATAATTACTGAAAAAAGCAAAACGAAGAAAACAGATTTTAGTTGTTTACTTGTCTTTTATATCTAGAAATCGAATACACTGAAGATTGACATCGATCTCGCTCTGACAGCTTATGCAAACGCACGCAGGTGAGTTTTGTAAAAGTTTCACCAAGTGTGACTTTGAGGGCGAGAAGCTAATTCAAAGGCCTGGTCAAACGAGAATGAGAGTTGATGAGAGTTGAGAAGCGAGAGTTTGCATGAGAGTCTTCTCAACTTTCGTGAGCAATAGCAAGCGCGTGAGAGAGAGCCTAGGGCTAGGCTGGGAGTGCATGGAAGTCGATGAGAATTGGCGGTAAAACGCAAGAAACTCTCATCAACTCTCATTCTCGTTTGACCGAGGCTTAAGACTGAAACAATGAAACGGTCCTCAGTCTAAAATATACATAATACCAGGTGATCTCGGAACGCGGAAAAGGCCTGGCACTAGTTGTAAAATAGAAATCCATTTCTGGTTTAAAATTACTCAATATCTCATCAACGGTACTAGATTACTATTTCAAATTTGCCCCAGACATTCATTGCCCCTGTGCAAGACACAGACACAAAGTTTCAAACAGTTCCACAAAAGAATCAGGGTGTCACAAATGATTGAATGTACGAAACTGGATTTCTATTCTGTTGCAAGTCCCATTCCTTTTGCTCACCGTCAGATCACCTGGTATATTAGCCACTTCAGATTGCCATGCATTGTTTTTAGTTATTACACTAAGAAACGCCAGGCCGCAACAAAAGAACAAAGGACAGTGGAGGCTTCTAAAAAAGCGCTAAAATCTGCTGAAAGAAAAACAAAGGAGACATTAAAAGAAGTTGCAACGACAACCAGTATACGGAAAGCAAGAAAAGTTTATTGGTATATAAGATCATTGTTCATGTTTTGGAATTTTTTGTATTATTTTAAAAATCTAATACTAATAGCGTGGTTCTTCGCAAACGTGGTGGTCCAGTGTAGGTAGTATTCTACAATAAGCTGCCGTAGTTTGTGTCTGAAGAACTAGAAAATGATATTTCGAACGTGGTGGTCCAGTGTAGGCAGTATTCTACAATAAGCTGCTGTGGTTTGTGTCTGAAAAACTAGAAAATGATATTTCGAACGTGCTGGTCCAGTGTGGGTAATATTCTACAATAAGCTGCTGTGGTTTGTGTCTGAATTTCCTGAAAAAGATATCTCAGATGTGGAGGTCCAGTGTAGGTGGTAGTATTGTGTAATAAACTTGTTAATAGTTAAAGTAAAGTTTTCAGCGATGGCCCTTCATTGGGAGGTCGGTGGTTTGAGTTTCATTGTATTGCTTTAGGTTTGAGAAATTCTTTTGGTTTGTAACTTCTGAAAACTATCTTGTGATTGGTGGACGAGATCAACAGCAAAATGAATTGATCGTCAAAAGACATTTGAAGCCTGGTGAGTCTTGTTGTACATTACTCATTCTCGTACCCAGAGCCCTTACGCGCGGTGCGACGAGGGGCTCTGGCCAAGTCCATAACCGGATACCATAAAAACATGGTAAGAAAACAATGTCCGGTGTTAGAACTAGCCAATCAGATGCCAGTTCGGAATATGGATTTGGCCAAAGCCCCTCGTCGCACCGCGCGTAAGAAGGGCTCTGGCTACGAGAATGTACATTACTGTAAAAATTGTATAATGTAATCGTTCGTATTGTTTCGTGTGCACTCCATCAAATTCGGGAAGTGTCTGTAGGAGCAAGAGAATGAAATACATCTCTGAAATCCACAGACAAGACTACTACATATAGTGAAAATACTTAACAATTTCTCAACTGCATGCCAGTCACTATCTGCGGCACGACACTGCTTAGTGAAAGCCAAGCCCGGATTTTGGCGGAAATGCTGGGTGGTGGGAAGTGGAAAATATTTTATGAAAGATGCTGCTGTCTGGCCCATGACCTCCCTAACGTTGTCACTGTGCAGTGTATATATTGTTTCTATTAATGTATTCATGAATTATGACTATACGACTCATCCAATTTCGACCCTCGTTACAATTATTAAAATACTACTTTGAACACATTGGCAACAGGTATTAAAAGGTATTAACAGGTATTAACTGTTTTGATCCATCATTTGACTTTTTCAAGGGGAGGTGCATGAATTTTCAAGGGAGGTGTAAAAAATCTCAGGGGAGGTGCAAAGCGATCTCGGGGGAGATGCACACCTCCCCACATCTCCCCTCAAAATCTGCCCGTGGTGAAAGCTCCCTCCCTGTCTCTTCACAGGTGATGTTTACGTCCACGCTGACTTACACGGAGCTTCGAGCATTGTTATTAAAAACCATACCTCAGAAGCTGTTCCTCCTAAGACCCTAAACGAAGCGGGTTGTATGGCAATATGTTACAGTAGTGCATGGACTGACCGTATAATCACCAGTGCTTGGTGGGTGTATCATCACCAGGTCTCTAAAACCGCGCCAACTGGAGAATACTTGACCACTGGAAGTTTTATGATTCGAGGAAAGAAGAATTACCTGCCCCCGAGTTATTTGATCATGGGGTTTGGGTTTCTGTTTCGTCTGGATGAAACCTGCGTTGGAAAACATAAAGATGAACGGAGAATTAAGAACGTGGAAGAAGACACAGTCTCAGAGGTGGGTTGAAAAATTTCATTTCTGTGTATTTTTCATTTGTGCAAACAGGTATTGTAGCTCCGTGTACGTAATATCTAGACCTTAGAATATCGGTCAGAGAACCGTCTGACAAAATGTTCGATGACTGTGAATTTGGGTTGGACATGTGGATTGTGATGTCCCATGACTTTGAGTTCAGTTTGGCTTGGAAATAAGTATGAATGCAAACACAAATTAATATCAGCACAATTTGTAAAAGTCTTTTGAATCTTGGCAATTTCGGAACCCCACGGTGAAAACCCCGCACTTGATTACACATTTCCAGTTCACTTTTTATACATTACTTTGGTTCTCCACTTAACATACGAGCTTCTAGTCCTGGACTAGGGTACATTTTGATTTACATTGAACAAAGTTACAGTTACTTTAAACAACAATTCACTCGGGTCGGACAAACAGTAAACCTCAGTTTCACTTAGGTCGGACAGAATGTCCAGTGGTTTCCTCTTTACGTCGGACAATTTCACGAATGGATCGGACAATGTCCGTGACTGACCGATATTTTAATTCCTGTTAAATATCCATTCTCGTTTTAGAGTACAAGTACAACCGGTGAAGATCAAGAACTTGATATTGAAGGAGATGACAGCGGAGACAGTGATACCGAGAAACCTGGGGATACAGAGGATAGTTTAGGTATTCAACGGGATTTTGAGGGTGAAACAAGGACAGATAAAGATCGGAAGGATGATGGTGGGGATAAAGATGAACCTTTAGGCATGATTGTTGATAAAGATAGTAATTTAAGGATTGGAAAGGATATCGAGGGTGAATCTAGTGAACATGAGGGGATCCAAGATTATGATGGTGAGGGGGATAACGATAAACGTTTAGGTATAACTGTTGATAATGAGGATGATGAAGGAACGGAAGGGGGTATAGAAGGACCTAAAGATATGGAAGACAATACAGAAAATAGGGAAGATAGCGATAGTAACGAGGATGAGGATGATTTATCTTATCCCGATACATCCATAGACTTCCAGTACACTAGTGGCGGGAAATTTCAACTACAGCGAGGCACAAGTTCCTCTAGTTCTCATGCCACTGAGGACTTTGTCGACCTCGGTGATGGTGAAGTACTTGACCTCAGGTCCTTTGGGAAAGACAGCGAGACTCGAAAACAACGTTTGACTGCAAAACAACGACGACAAATGAAGAAAAAGGGTGGTTCGGGGGTATTGAACGATAAAAATGACGTTGAAGCTCAAGAGGATGTGCCTTCGGGCATGAAACCGAAAAGCGATGCTGAGCAAGGTAAACAACCAATCACGCAACAGAGTGGAGCAAAGCGCGGGAAAAAGTCAAAGTTGAAGAAAATCAAAGAAAAATATGGCGACCAGGATGAGGAGGACCGGGAACTTATGATGCAATTTTTAGGATCAGCGGGTGCTCCCAAGGATAGTAAGCGAAAGAAAAGCAAGGATAATAAAGGACGTAAGGGGAGCGCACAGAACACTCAGGGTGAACGTAGGGTAACTAAGGGTACTAATAAAGCTGATAATATCAAACCTACACCACCAAATACTGGGGATAATGGGGACAAACAGGGTAAGGATGGGAGTGAAGCATCGCTTGGACATAGTGGGGATGCCTTACAGAATTTTGCTGGAGATTTGGTGCAAGGGTTGGTTCAAGATGGTGGAAATGAACAACAAGAAACAGAAGTAAAGGTATTGATATAGTAGGGAACAATGACTCTAATCTTGTTTGGTTTGTGTATTATTATAGTTATTTAATTCTTTAAAAATCTTTACAGTCAGAAGAAGTTGATGAACCTGATATTGAAAAGGTGTGGTAGATGTTTTACTTAAACAAAAAAAGATAATTCGTCTGCCTGTAAAAACTAGGGAAAAGTCTAAAGAGTTGAATGATCAGTCAGACGGGTGATCTGAGCATGATGAAAGCCACCTACTAATGAAACTCTATTTTACTTTAATATAGGATGAAGTGGGTCTACTAGATTCTCTGACTGGTTGTCCTTATGCAGAAGATATGACGTTATTTGCTATACCTGTTTGTGCTCCGTACACTGCGGTACAGAATTTCAAGTAAGATCACGGAACTGTGCCATGCTTGTGGTTAATTTTATCGAGGGATAAATTACTCTGAAAAAAGCGTACGAAGGTTTTTAGGATTAGATAATCCCGGTAATTTTTCTCTGGATTCTGGGATTTTTTGCCAAAATTTAAAGGGTTTTCGGATTTTTTTTTCAGATTCTTTTCGAAATATTTTCAAAACAAAGCAAATCAAAGAAGGGCATTTTCACGCCAATTCACGATTTAAATTTTTTAATTTGATGGGATTTCTCGATATTGCAATAATGGATTTCTCGATATTGCAATAATGGAGGATTTTATTGGGCTTTTCCCAAGTATTTTATGCAATTTTTAGAAATTTCTTGGAATTTGGGGATTCTAGGATTTAGTACGATTTTGGGATTTTTCCAAAGATTTTTTTTATTTTTGATGAAGTTACTCTGAAAGAGTAATTTACCCCTCGAATTTTATTCCCAATTGTGAGCAAGCCGTTGATAATTTTTTTTGGCAATTTTAGGTTCAAAGTTAAGTTGACACCTGGCACAGGGCGGAGAGGAAAAGGTAGAGTTATAAACTAATTCGCCTATAAATTATTTGTAGGTTTATACTCAATCTCGTACACAGAGCTATATAGAAGTAACTAGACTGCATGGGTTTTTCTTTCCTTGAGTGAAAATTCTGCGCGAAAAATCATACCACAAGGGCGGGATGGTCTTTGTAGAAGTGAAGAAAATTTCTGCTCTGTATGAAAAACTCGGCCTTGTTCATAATCCATCTGATTGTATCCTTGCACAAAAACGCCTATAAACGGTAATTTGGGAATAAACAAAAACGTCTGAGGCTTTGAATATATTGACGCACAGCGCTATTGAAAAGCCAGTACATGGTATGATGCAGGAAGTCGTACCATTGGGAATTCATGCTGTACAAAAATGTCATGCTTGTATGTTAATACAAACAATACCATATTGTTGTAATGCTTGGTTAAGTAATCGTTATGAACAAACATGTAGAATCATTTGAATATTCAAATTCTATAGTTATTTCACTCATATAAGCCAGGCAACGTGTGGAAAAAAGTCTTTTTTGAACGTCTTTTTGAGGACAAATCCTTAACCATCGTGGTATCGTATAAAAGTTGAACAAACTATGAAACTGTGGTAACCATGAATCTATGGTACGAAAATTTTTTCACTTATAGGTTTATGTTTAGGAGCCGTTTATATGAGATGGGCTAACCATCTGAACGAATTTCTTCTATGTCTTACAACAGCTTCAAGACTTTCCTAAAATGAAGTTGATATAGGAATTGTTTAGATTAGGTGCTGTCTCAATAAAAGACTATTGCATGGGGATGCTTCATATTAACAGTTCGTCGCCCTAACAGTTCGTCTGCCCATAATATAGCTAACTCATGTGGTTTTAAATACATTTTTTGTTTGAACTGGGTGTATATTTGGTATTTTGTAGCTGCAAGGACAGCCTTGCATTCTTTTATTCAATCTCGGGAAACTACAGCTCGCGAGAAGGATTTGTTAAAAAGCGTTAAGGTTAGTTACATTAGTTACAGTTGCGCATTACAGCTAAACTAACTTTACTTATACCTGGGTAGCTGTGTCAGTTATAAACTGTTCTTTCTAGCGATCTAGCATACACCGTCCATTAATTATTTGTCCAATGTGATTATAGGAGGAACCAAAACTAAATTAACTTTATTTGCCCTGGATAGCTCTATCAGTTCTAAACTGTTCTTCCTAGAGTTCCAGTAAGGATCATCGCTTATTGCTCCAGTGTTACTGCAGGAAGAAACCTAAGTTACACTAACTTTATTTATACTGGATATAGCTCTATAGGTTCTAAACTGTTCTTCGTAGAGTCCAGTAAGGATCATCGCTTATTGTTCCTGTGTTACTACAGGAAGAAACCAAAACTAAACTAACTTTATAAGTTTATTTGCCCTGGATAGCTCTATCAGTTCTAAATTGTTCTTCCTATATAGAGGTCCAGTAAGGATCATCGCTTATTGCTTCAGTGTTACTACAGGAAGAAACCTAAACTAAACTAATTTTATACCTACGTCTTTTGAATCCCATGGGAGTGGTTACAATCACCTATTAGACATCAATCTCCAGTCACAGAAGCAAAAGGCACGTGCTCTAAAAACTATTTTGTTACAAACGCCTTTGGTAAAATAAGAATCCATATTCATTGGTAGAAATGAATGCCACAGTTTGATCATTTATTTTGTTTTATTATAGGACGCAGACCTTTCACGTTATATACCTGGCAAGGTGAAAATTTCCGCGCCCAATTTACACAAAGGTAAAAAGTAACTTCAGAAATATGCACATCACTGAACGTATGCGTATAGAAGACAGACTAGTCCATGTATACCTCTACCAATCCAAGCAAGCTAATTGATATACACCACATTCATTACAATAATGGACCAAGGCTCAATATACAGGGTGAGTAAAAAAAAACTGACACCTTTGTTATTCAAACTAGCCGCGAAGGTATCAGTTTTTTTTTATTCACCCTGTACTATGAAAAACACATACTGGCATATAAACGATTTATGTAACCGTCCCCAAGGACGCAAAAGACAAGGAATAATTTGAATTGCAAACTAAAAAATTATTTTGTCAAGTTTGTCCAATATGGCGGAAATGAGAATAGCAGAAGAGCTTTAATCTAAATAGCATCAATAACCCGCTAATTCGGGTTTAATACAAGATATAGCCGGAATAAGACATTAAAAAAATCTTTGCAGTTGACATCGATTGAGTTAGAGATTACAGTACAGTATATGTCTTAATATAATTATAGACAGATTATTTCTAAATATAAGGCATACTGGGTGAATTATAATTTCCTAAATGTCTTATCATGCTATTTTCCGCGGTTAGTGTGGCTAATATTAATGTTCGTAATCTTTGATAAGGTTTGCTAGCGGGTTCCTCAAACACAGACGGTAATGAATAGTAAATGAATAGTAATAACGATTAAATTGAAATATATTTTGTATAATGCAAAAAATTTTCATTAGTTCGTTGCGCAATATAAAACAACCAACTGGTACTTTTAGTAACATGACAGCAAATACAAAAAATCTCAAAATAGCAAGACAGAGATGCAGTAAGGATGTTTAATAAATAATATTAATAATAATAACAATAATAACAACAAAGCCCCAATCCTGGAACGGGGGAAGTCTAGTACGAAAATAGAATGTGTATAGGAGTTGTACTCTGTGGGAAGCTGACTTTTGAAACTTCGGGAACATTTTTTTAATTGACTTGTGTCTTGCGGGAATTTTATGTCGGGAATTCTCTTTTGTTAATAATATATGAAACCCTTACACCTGCACACAGTAAATTCCATCTTTATTGAAGTGTATTAGGTGATATACATGCAAGCGTATTTGAAATAGTCGAACTCCAAATGTTCTTCCAACTGCAAATTTTGCCTTTAAGTTCCCATCCTCTGGAAACATGAGAACAAAATTTGTTGCATCTTGCTATACTATGTGTTTATAGGCAGTGATATCTAAGGGAGCTTTCCATTACAGACCGATTTACACTACACAACTTTTGCCTAAAACTGTCGCATGCAACCTCGAGTTGTACTGTATAAATCAAGCACACAACTGGTCTACGTTGTCACAGGTGAGTTGTGTGTTTGATTTTGCACAGTATAATTCAAGTTGTAAGCAGGTTGCATGCGACAGTTTTAGGCAAAAGTTGTGTAGTGCAAAACAGCCTTCATACAGTCAGAACGGTCAAGATCTTTCTATTAATTCATAGACAGAAACATGGCCTGGCCATTAAAAGGAAAGCGCCCAAAGAACATGCATCCTGCGTAAAACATTAGGTTTACACGTAAGGTAACCCAATGTTGTAAAGCTTCGTCATGTATGGATTATAACTCTTGCAAAATAACTAAAAACATTTGTATATTGCCTCGCAGGTTTTCTGTCATGTCTTGCATGCCTCGCACATGCATTATGTGACTCGCTGGCATGCGAGGTCAATTTGCTACCGTTGCGTGCGTGTCGTTGCTATTGTAAGACGCTGTTCCGAAGTTGTTATAATCTATATAGTCAAAACTACATGACTGTTCTTGACTTGAGTCGTCCGTGTAGTCTAAAGTGCAATCTTGCTGTATCAAACATTGATAACTGTAGCACAACTGTTCATCGTGATATAACAATGTCTTCAATTACTCCATTCCCTTACGTGTAAGTTTTCAGAGTTAGTGTTGGGTCTTCTTTATACAATTATGGTCAAAACATCATCCCATCAACTTTTTTTACAACTCACAAAACCTCTAGCCAGAGGTTGTCTATCTGCACAACCGTTAACCGTTGTGTAACAATGTCTTCAATTACTCCAGTTTCTCACGTGTAAGTCTTCAGAGTTAGTGTTGAGTCTAATTCTTTATTCAACTTTTTTTACAACTCATGCACAAAACCTCCATTGAGAATTGCTTTACAATTCACAAAAGGGCGGTAGTCGTTCTATGCAAGCAACAACTCACACAACCGTTAACCGGGATGAAACAATGTCTTCAATTACTCCAGTTTCTCACGTGTGAGTCTTCAGAGTTAGTCTTGAGTCTTCTTTATACAATCACAATCAAAACATCGTTCCATCGAAACTCGCTTTCGCAAAAGGGAGGTAGTCCATCTATATGCAAGCAACTCATACAACCGTCAACCGTGATGTAACGACGATCGCTTCAACCACTTTCGTTTCAACCACTTTCGTTTCGTACGTGTGTGATCTTGTTCTCGCTTGTATTAACGGAGTCCGTATTTGCTTTGATAAATACCGCATCCACAGACAAAGTACAATAAATGCGATCGTAGCGCTTATAAGAAATGCAGTGATAAACGCCACTATGGCAAGACGCATTATAATCGTGGAATCCCTGCGTCGTGTCTAATCGGTTGAAAACACATATTATTAAAACTTTTCCACTCGCCTGCAGACCGTTTGTCAATATCCCCAGCAAAACTACAGAACGTCAACATGTCCTGCATATAAATAATAATCAGTGAAAATTAAATTTGTTTGAAAGTGTAGATAAAAAGTGTTTGAGACGAATAGCGAAATTATATGGTAATTTCTTATGGAATTGACCGCAAGATAGTCTGTCAAAAACTGTCGGATTAGGGCGCATTAGCAGCCTGCTGCCGCTGCTCAAAACAAGACAATTGCGTGTGTTTATTTCGTTTATTAGGTTCAATTAGAAGATCTTCCAATACATTGCGGTCACAAATTGCAGCAAACTCATTTTGGTTCAAGTGACAGTCTTTCCACAAAGTAAACATAAAAATATTTTATTCTGCATTTGGCTAGACCAGTCCTATTATTAAAAGATAAGATGTGTTCTGAGCGATATCTAAGGAAAAATGTTATATTAGAACATTTGTTTTTTGCATGTAATAGATTAATCGAGAAGATTGTGCATGCAACACGCCGTATCCAGCCGTGCACTCAGCGAGATAATCGAAATAGCTAAAGTAAAATTTTGGCAATAACTTGGTCAGGGTGCAAACCTGAACTTAGGAACTCGTGTTCATGGACTCAGAATGGATCCTCATAGGCGTACCGGGCGGGCAGTAGCCCCAGGTTTTGAGCAGTCGGGCAATATTCAATCAACAGTCGGGCAATTTTGGTTTTGTAATAAAAAATAATTTTTCCTTCCGGGTACGCCCATGTGGATCCTGACACAGGGCCTTGCTGCATATTGCCCGACCAATCAAAAACATTTTCGTGCTAAACTTCCAAAATTTTTGTCGACAGGGGAAAGCTGTTTTGCTACACGCGATCTTAGTTAGTTGTTTTACTTTAACTTTCCTAACACTATCATGTATTTTATTTTATTTAAGTTAAAATCGTAGTTGGAGCAATCATCAAACCTTTATTTTGTTAAATTAGAACTTAAAATGTTCCCCATAACAATGCGTGGCTGCCAACTCTCATCCTCTCATGCCAACTTAGGCTTAAAGCCTGGTTTCCATATATGGTCATAAAAATAGAGTCACGATCTTTCTCAATGGTTTATAATAGTTTAAATACCTGTAAATCACATATAAATCGTAAGTATTCTCTAGTTATAAACACTCCGCGTATTTTCAGTTGTAAAATGTTGTATTTCGGAGATCGTGACTCAATCTTTACGACCATGTGGAAACTAGGCTTCATGGAAGTACGTTACTACGCACAATCCATGTTCATCAGTTCAGTTCCAATACATCGCTCTCTGCCCTGTTACTGATAACAATTACTTTAAATCAACATGTCGAGTCAAAATATTTTGAATACTAACTAGAGTTAAATTAACAAACCAAATTCTTGCTAAGGTATATATTCAATAAATTATACATGACAACGCATATTCAAGTTTTTGTGGGTTCAAACAGTCTCGTTAGCCCCAGATCTTTGTTCTCCGTATCCAGCAGACTCAAAGGCGTCTCTTTCTTGACCACAGGCATGGCGGGAAGATTTAATATCGTTATATCATTCTGAAACATCTTACCGATTTCTTTCTAAATCATGAAAACAATGAAAGCAATCAGATGATGTTTTGAGCGTCGTTTCCGTATCAGCCATGCTGGGCAATTTTGACATACTACTTGTATGCCATGCTACTGTATATGACATACTACTGTATATGACATACTACTGTGTATGACATACTACTGTGTATGTCATACTACTGTGTATGTCATACTACTGTGTATGTCATACTACTGTGTATGTCATACTACTGTGTATGTCATACTACTGTGTATGTCATACTACTGTGTATGTCATACTACTGTGTATGTCATACTACTGTGTATGTCATACTACTGTATATGTCGTACTACTGTATATGTCGTACTACTGTATATGTCGTACTACTGTATATGTCGTACTACTGTATATGTCGTACTACTGTATATGTCGTACTGCTGTATATGTCGTACTGCTGTATATGTCGTACTGCTGTATATGTCGTACTGCTGTATATGTCGTACTGCTGTATATGTCGTACTATTGTATATGTCGTACTATTGTATATGTCGTACTATTGTATATGTCGTACTATTGTATATGTCGTACTATTGTATATGTCGTACTATTGTATATGTCGTACTATTGTATATGTCGTACTATTGTATATGTCTATATGTATACAGCAGCTATTTCAATTAAAGGTGTCCCCCGAGCAAAGCGGAAAAGTCGAATACGAGCGCGAAAGGCTGCTGGGAATAGCTAATAAATTAATTAATTTTCAAAGCGATTCCCAGCAGCCTTTCGCGCTCGTATTCGACTTTTCCGCTTTGCTCGTGGACAACCTTAATTGAAATAGCTGTATGTCATACTATTGTATATGTCATACTATTGTATATGTCATACTATTGTATATGTCATACTATTGTATATGTCAAGTAATTGTATATGTCATATACTACTGTATGTGTCATACTACCATGCGTGTCATACTACCATACGTGTCATACTACCACACGTGACGTACTATACGTGACGTACTATGCTATACGTGACATACGACTATATACGACCATCTACGACCATCTACGACCATCTACGACATACTATATATCTACGACATACTACTATATATCTACGACATACTACTATATATCTACGACATACTACTATATATCTACGACATACTACTATATATCTACCCTGGTTCTAGAGGTTGTTGCTGCCGCCGTATATTTGTACGAAGGAATAATAGCGAGAGTAGGGCGGAAGATATGAGAACGTCTGGCAACCAGGGTACGATATATCCGACATACTACAATATATCCAAGAAAAATATGTCGAATGACACCCACTATATACTGAATGACAATTAAATGGAATAGCCATAAAAATATGTAAAGTTCTTATCATAGATCTTAATATATATTGCTGTAGTTGTTGGGGGGAGTAGAAATCTGGAAAATGAATAACTATTTTTGGAACATTATTAAAAAAAAAATGAATCTTATTCTATTAATTCTCAAAGCGTGGGTTATATAAGTTATGAATGTTTAAGAGGCAATTTTTTTTGCTATATTGCGTATGATGAAAGGTGTTCAAAACCAAAAATTGTTTTAAAACCAAAAATCGTTTTGGCGGTGTACGTCTCAAAATTGCTTTGTATTAGCTTTATTCTCTAGTTTATACAGTTAGCTACCTTTTAAAATGTATTTGCCGGTTGAAAAAACCTAAAATAATTATAGTCAAAAGTTGTCAATTAAAGGGGCAGTGTCACGGTTCTACTGCGCATCCAAAATATGCGCGAACTTGAAAAACTGTCTGCCAACAAT